GATTTCGCCCCGTCGTCCATCATACAAATGGACTAGTACTATCCCAGGCAGGCCAGTACCGGTTTCCCCCATTTATCCCCGGACAGAAAAAGTATGTGTGCGCACCCTGTCATCAGAATCGCCAATGTCCAAGACGCCCTTGCAACAAATGGGGCGCGTGGTCGCGCGCGCATGTCGACATTTTTCAACATCCTGAGGTGTCGTAAGGATGTCAAAATCGAGTGTCTCGAACACATATACAAGCACACTGATTTTCAACAGTCGTTTTCAAACAAAATCTTGCGATCGGGCCCCTGCGAATCCTTATGAAAACTATCGCTTTTTGTTCCCCGCATGTTTCGTTGGGCTCTGGTTTTCTTCCCCACATGTTTCGTGGGGTGTGGGTGTTCTTCCCTGCCGCGCAGCACCCGCATCTCCTCACCTCCCCGCTCCCCTTTTCCCTCTCGCACCAGAGCGGGTGGGCAGGGGGGTGGTCCCTGAGCTCGGCCGCTACAGCACAGCTCACCGCACAGCAGCACAACACAGCACACCACAACGGGGGGAGGAGGACACCGAGGAGGAGAAGGAGGAACAGCAGCAGAAACACCGATGGTACACATTGGAAATAACATAAGTATGTGGGGTTCCTCGGTAGCGTAATTCCCTGCCGCGCCGCACCCGCGACACTCACACCTCACTATTCCCCTCCTTTTCTTCCTCTCCCCACGCGCGCTCAACACATGCAGCAACATGCACGGCAAGTGCATGAGACACGCGTCGACATACAACCGCACGCATGCACACACTCGCACACACACACACACGGCACAGCTTAGCACAGCACAGCACACACTAGCACAGCACAGCACAGACGGTCGTCCAGGCACAGCAGGCGTGGCATTTTCTCGACACCATACGGGGTGCGCAGGGGGTGGTCCCTGAGCTCGGCCGCTATGCACGACGGTCGTCCAGGCACAGCAGGCGTGACATTTTCTGGACACCATAGTGGGTGCGCAGGGGGTGGTCCCTGAGCGCGGCCGCTATGCACGACGGTCGTCCATGCACAGCAGGCGTGGCACTTTCTCGACATCACAGGGGGTGCGCAGGGGGTGGTCCCTGAGTTCGGCCGCTTTGCACGACGGTCGTGGCAGGCGTGGCATTTCCTCTTAGCCACAGGGGGGGCGCTGGGGGTGGGGGCCCTATGCGCTGCAGGCTCCCAGGGCGGGGCAGGCGTGGCATTTCCTCGACGCCTTAGGGGGTGCGCTGAGGGTGGGGGCCCTGCGCGCTGCAGGTTCCCAGGGCGCGGCATGCGTGGCATTTCCTCGACGCCACAGGGGGTGCGCTTGGGGTGGGGGCCATATGCGTTGCAGGCTACCAGGGCGCGACAAGCGTGGCATTTCCTGGGCGCCACAGGGGGTGCGCTTGGGGTGGGGGCCCTATGCGCTGCAGGCTCCCAGGGCGCGGCAGGCGTGGCATTTCCTGGGCGCCACAGGGGGTGCGCTGGGGGTGGGGGCCCTTGCGCTGCAGGCTCCCAAGGCGTGGCAGGCGTGGCATTTCCTCGACGCCACAGGGGGTGCGCTTGGGGTGGGGGCCCTATGCGCTGCAGGCTCCCAGGGCGCGGCAGGCGTGGCATTTCCTGGGCGCCACAGGGTGTGCGCTGGGGGTGGGGGCCCTATGCGCTGCAGGCTCCCAGGGCGCGGCAGGCGTGGCATTTCCTGGGCGCCACAGGGGGTGCGCTGGGGGTGGGGGCCCTATGCGCTGCAGGCTCCCAGGGCGTTGCAGGCGTTGCATTGTGTCGACTTCGCAGGGGGTGCGCTTGGGGTGGGGGCCCTATGCGTTGCAGCCTACCAGGGCGTGGCAGGCGTGGCATTTCCTGGGCGCCACAGGGGGTGCGCTGAGGGTGGGGGCCCTATGCGCTGCAGGCTCCCAGGGCGCGGCAGGCGTGGCATTTCCTCGACGCCACAGGGGGGGCGCTGGGGGTGGGGGCCCTGTGCGCTGCAGACTCCCAAGGCGTGGCAGGCGTGGCATTTCCCCGACGTCTTAGGGGGTGCGCTGGGGGTGGGTGGCAGGCGTGGCATTTCCTCGCCGCCACAGGGGGTGCTCTGGGGGTGGGGGCCCTATGCGCTGCAGGCCCCCAGGGCGTGGCAGGCGTGGCATTGCCTCGACGCCACAGGGGGCGTGCTGGGGGTGGGAGCTCGTATCTTGTCAAGAACTGTAAACACCTTGGCTCAAGCCGGCTCGGCGCGCCTGCGCTCTCGCGCAGACGCGCCCTTGTAGTCCTACTTCGGAGCGCCGCCCGACCTGCGCGGCAGCCGTGCCTCCCAACATCGCCGTGGACGCGCTGCCACCTCCATGTTTGGCGATGAAGACTGCAATGGTTCAGATGGGCGGCGAGGTTAGCGCGGAGACCTCCCGCATATGCGCCAACAGAGTGGTGCAGTCCGCTTTGAATACGCACCGCCGCCAGCTTCACAATTGGTGGCCCGGTACGCTCTACGCGAGGTACTCGGAGATGAAAGGCGACGGCAAGAGGCAGTGCTTGGTGGCGCACCTGCAGAACCCTGCGTCAGGCGGATTCCCCAAGGAGGTTCTTTTAGACAACGGCGGCGGCCCGCCGGCGAAGGCGCGGCGAGTGCGCGAGGCCGGCAGCGCGGCGGCTGACACAGAGGCCCCCGCCGCAGCGTTTGCCGCGCCTCTGAAGGCTACACCGACGAAGGACACGCCAACGAAGGCCCCGCCCACGCAGACTTGCAGTCCGCAGCGGCCCCCGGCCTTGCTGCTGGCTACCTCTGTTCGTTCCACTGGCGCTCCTCGCGCTCAGCTTTCTCCAGGGCCCGCGGAGGCGGACGAGCGTTGGTGGCATGGACCTTGGTCGCGGAGCCTGCGACAGTCGGTCGCGGCGACCTGTTCGCGCGCCCTGGCGGATAAGAAAGCTGTCGGATGGTGCAATTCGCTTGCAGAGAAAGGGGCGGTGGATCCACAGTTCCAACTTCCAACCGTCCAAGAGGGGCGCCGATGCAAACGCGCGGCAGGCTCTCAACAGGCACTCCAACGGCCGCCACCCGAGCTACGAGATGGATGTTCCCACCCTTCGATTGTTCGCATTGCAGCCTGACGTGCTCGGCGTAGCTAGCGCCATGTTCTACGGGGAGGTAAGCGACGTCGCCCCCCGGCATTGGACGTTTCGAGCTGCTGCTGATCATCATTGCATCTATCCCTGCGAGACTTTGAAGGCCCAGCGCGCGCCTCGCGGCAGGCAGCCCTGGCAGAGCGGCTGGATGCGGTGAAGTTCCTCTACCCAGCTGACCAGGGGGGCCCGCGCCCCGACCCGGCCAGGGCCAAGCGCATCGCACAGGTGCTCGCTGCTTGGACGGACTGCAGACGCATGAGCCTCGCCCATGCGGATTCGTTCTCGTTCGCAAAGGAGAAAATATTCGATTTCTTTGCCGGCGTCACAGACGACCTGTCGAACCTCGACCTGACGTCCGTGCGCGTGTCCAACTTCGGGAATACGTGCTACCTCAACGCCGTGGCGCAGGCCCTGATCCGCTGCAAGCCTTGGAGGCTTCGGGGTGTTTCAATCCAAACGAGCGCGCCTTTTCCGCGCAGTTGCTCTGGCGCTGCGAGTCCCATGACGCATCGCATTGCGTTTTGATAAGCGGCCCTGGGCTACTGCTGAGCACCCAGATTCAGTGCCCGGCTACCACGGCGAGCGACTCCAGTCGTTGGGCACCATATGATTTGGAAACACGCCGCCCCCCCCCCCCCGCCTCCTGCCCCGCAATCATGGTACTTGGTCGCGTCGGGAGCACGGCGCGTCTGCGTCTGCCAGGCTTGAGATTCTTCGCAGCGGCGAGGCCGACCTGATGCCGCTTGGGCAGTGCCTGAGGCGCTACGTTCTCTCGCATGCCCAGGCCTCAGACGAGCTCTGATCTCGATCATCTCTGGCCCAGTTCCAAGGGTGCTTCCACGCGGGCGATTCGGCGTGCGCCTGGAGATTTTCCACTGAAAGGCATCGTCAATCGCAGTGCCCAGAGGCTTTCCGTCAAAGGGCGAGTCTGGCAACTTGCGTCCTTGCATATTTCAAATGCTGACATTCAGCCTTTTGTCGAATTCTGCGAAACGGCCGTCGGCGACCCCCTCGCCCCATGTCCCATGTGGAAACGGCCCTCGGTGATCCCTCGCCCCTGGCCCTCCCAGGAACGGTCCTCGGTGGCCCCCTCGCCCTCTAGCTTTCCGGGGAGCGGCCCTCGGTGACTCCCATCGCTGCTTGCCCATCCTTGCAGACGGCCCTCCACGAGCTTCTCGCTCTGTCTGATCGGGCGCCAGGGTCTCTGATTTCGAATCTCTCTGGCCCAGTTCCAAGGGTTCTTCCACGCGAGCGATCCGGCGGGCGCCTGGAGTTTTTCCATGGAAAGGCTTCGCTGATCGCCATGCCCAGAGGCTTTCCGTCAAAGGGCGAGTCAGACAACTTGCGTCCTTGCATATTTCAAATGGCGCCACGCAGCTCCGTTCGAATTCAGCGAAACGGCCCTCGGTGACCCCCCAGCCTCATGTCCCATGGGGAAACGGCCCTCGGTGATCCCTCGCCTCTGGGCCTCTGGCCCTCCCAGGAAGGCCCTCGGTGACCTCCTCGCCTTCTAGCTTTCCGGGGAATGGCCCTCGGTGATTGCCATCGCTGTTTGCCCATCCTTGCAGACTCCACGAGCTTCTCGCTCTGTCTGGTCGGCTGCCAGGGTCGCCCTGGTGGTCCGGGCGGGGGGGGGGCGGCTCTAAAGTGGAAGTCCGCCGAGATTTCAGACATCGGTCGTTTCGCTGAGGCAGGCCCGGCCAGCACGTGCTTGGACACCGTGCCACCGTGCCCTTGCTGGGGAAATCGGTCAGCTACTTCCTCCACCACAGTAAGCATCCTGGAGGAAAACAGCAGGACGCCTCCGAGTGCGCCACCTTCCTGCTGGGGTGCTTGGACAACGCCCAGGACCTCCGCCCGCGCGCGAGCGTTCGGCTCGGGAGCCGCCGAGGCCGTCGAGGACCAGATCCTGTGCAAGGTGTCTCCCGACGCGCAGGTAGCAGCGGCGGCGGGCAAAGTCGATGTTGCTGGTATGCTGATGGTTTCTTTGACCGGAGACGCTGCCATCGCGGCGCCTTCTCCTGCGTTGATGCTGCGCGTGGAGAATACTTGCGAGCTCGGCGGCGTCCGCCATTCCGTCACTGCCAGGGCAGATTGGGGCGCCGCCGAGTTGGAGGTGACGGTGGCCGGCACTGAAGACACTGCTACGCATCGCGTCGCCTCGTTTGAGGCACACGAAGCAGAAGGAGACGTCTCCGCCGACCAGAGGACGCAGTCTGGCCACTGCGTGGCCTTCGTGCACTCGGACGACGACTGGTTCAAGATGAACGACGATAAGGTGATCAGGCTCAGCGAGCCACCAGATCATTTCCCGTGCCTCGTCCTCCCGACGCGCGTCGACACGCCGACGGGCAGGCTACTGCGCGGCAAGCAGGCGCGGGCTGACCCTCGCACCATGCTGGATCTCTTGACCAGCAAGGTTGCGGAGGCCGTATTGGTGAGACGGCGGCAAGCAGACCGACGCGCCGAAGAACGAACCAGGCATGCCCGTGGGCAAGAGCCGGCTGGGGCGAGCAACCAGGGCGGCGCGCGGAGGGCCCTGGGAGAGCCGGAGCCGGCCCCAAGCGGGCGACAGCAGGACCGAAGCGGCAGGGACCAAAGCGGCAGGGACCACAGCGGCCGACATCAGGAAAGGGACCACCGTGGCCGAGACAAGCACGCAAGTGGCAAAGAAGCCCCACGGGCTAAAAATGCACGTCTGCTGGCAGACGTGAATGTCAAGAGCAGGTGGACGAGGTCCGGGCAGGGGGATCATCGAGACTGCACCCGACTCGATCACTTCGCCGAGTCCCAGGACCCGATCCGCAGGTATGAGCATACTCATGAGCTCTGACGCAAGGAACCTACGGAAAAAGGTCAAGATCTGGGACATGCGGGCGCGGCACACTCAACCTGTGCCATGTCAAGTCTGCCAGGGCGCAGAGTTCATCTGCAAGGGCGACTGGCTCGAGCACGTGAACAAGGAGCACGGGGGGGAACAGAGGTACCGCAATGCCCTCTTCGCGCTCGAGTCGCTGTGCCCGCGCAAGACCGCCGGCCAGGAGATGAGGCTCATCATCAGCAACTTCACGGAGTTCTACACTCGCGGAGCCATGGGCTGGGACGGGTTCTCGGAAGAGATGACGGGGCAGGCCGATTCGGACGAAGGGTTACCTCGTTACCAGAGGTGGGGGGCCCAGGTGCATGAAGGCGCGCGTCTTCTGCGCGCGACGTCAGTGGTCGGAAGACGTCCAGGAAGTGGACCTGGCCGGGCCGGGCTGTTTCATGCAGGCCCCAGAGGCCGTGGCCGTGCTGCTCGACCCAGAGACGTGCCACGAGGCCTGGGGCCTCATCCCGAAGGAATAGCTTCTCGCGTCCGCCGTGAACATGAGGGTCGGAGACTCACAGGAGCGCAGGCTCGTGCTCCTCCACAAGCGCCGGGTCAATGATGCGCAAGCCAGCGGGCACGAGAGAGTGAACGTCTGCCAGGAGTGTTTCGACAACTTCAAGAAGAACCCCCCCGCGATGTGCAAGTACGCCCTGGCGAACCACATGTGGATTGGCCGCTGGCTCCCGCTGTTCCGAGACACGACGCAGGCCCGCGAGATGCTGCTCGCCCTGGCGCGGGTTGTTGCCACCAAGGTTGTGCTGCGGCCAGACCGGCGCTCCAAGGCTGAGACTGCCGGCTCTCAGACCGAGCGCTCCTGGGACTTCCTTCCACCAGTCTGGCTTCACTCACGGGGTGCGCTGCGCTGTTCGGGAACGCCTCGTGCACCGAGGCCTTGACGCGATTCCCGACCCCTGAGCTGGGGAAGTCTTTTGCCGTCAGTTTCACGGGGCCGCCCTCCCAGGGCGACGAGCGCCCTGACGAGGCCCAGCGCAGGGGCCGCGCCCGCGTCAGCCGCATCGCTCAGCTCCAGATCGAGAAGTCTGTGTTCGACGCCCAGGCGGCCTACCTTCGGAAGACCAACGTCGTATACGCCGAGACCACTTACGACGCCGACCTGGTGGCCCAGTGGTGCCCGGCGGGCGATGAGAAACAGGTGCCGCCCCCGATCTCGGACCCCGCTGTGGGGGCCCCCATGGAAACCGACGACCCGGGCGCGGTCCTGCCCAGCGGGCCCAGGGACGCCGCGGCGGCGGGGCACGCCGACAGGATCGACGAGGACGTCGCGCTCGAGCGCCAGTCCAGAGTGGTGGCCGCCGTCCACCCCGATGACATCCCCGGCGCCAAGGCTCACGAGAGCTGCATGCAGATCACAGGCCTGCAGCATCAGCTGGAAGAGCTCGACGCCGCCGCAGCGCGATCGGTGGCGGCGGAAGCGGAGTCCGCCCTGGAGTCGCAGTTGGACGGCAATGACTCCTGCCTCCAGGACGAGGCCGGCCGAGAGCGCAGACTTGAGCAACGCGCCAAGGTTCGGAAGTTCGCGCAGAAAGCCACGAGCGAGCAGTCGCAACACAAAATGATCGCAGAGCTGCAGTGGCTTCTCAGTGGCGTCGGTTATCAGGCTGCTCCGCCCGTGGCGCCCAGCACGTCGCAGCCTTCCGACGCCGTCGCCGCGTCCGCCTCGACCACTGTGCCTCGCCTGCAGGTCGCGCGTGGCAGCAGGCCGTCTTCTCTGTTCAACTGGGAAGCCATGACGCAGGCTCGACCCACTCTCTAGCATTGCGGGGACGGAGGTTTGGGCGATCCGCAGCGAGCCTGCCCTCCGCACGTCCCGCTCCTTCCCGCGGAATTGATCGCGCGCCTGCTCGTGCGCGAGGAGCTGGAGCACACGGTGGACGGAGAAGACGAGCAGTGCAAGGTGGACCCGGATCTTCCGTCCAATCGTTTCGCCTCCGATTGGCTCGTCCCTCATCTGTTCTCCTCCATCTACTGGCTCACGGAGCGCCACGCGTCGCAGTGCGACTTCCTGAAAAGCGGCGGCATGAGGTTCGCCGAACAGCTCTTAAAGTAGACGTCAGAAGAAACCGCCGCCGCCGCTCGATTGCAGCACGCGCGGGGCGGGCGTATTCATGGGATGCGCAACTTGGCATCCGACCAGGAGTTCCCTCACAACCTCTCTGTCGCCCTGAATGCCGTGCAGATGGGCCATGCCGACGTCGTGGGCACGGACGGACACCGCCGACTGTGCCGGTAGGAGGGGGAATGCCTGCATGATCTTGTTCGGCGAGCCTGTGGTGTTCTGCGCTCCAAACCTCGCGGACACGAAGCAGCCGCTGCTCCTCGTCGTCCAGGGGGTCGAGATTCGTCTGGGAGGCAGTTTTGTCGCGGGCAACGAGACCCTGCCGAAGTATCGCGACATGATGAAGAGGCTCGCCGGAGACCCAGTGGGTCAGACGATCGTGTTCGACAAGATGATGAAGCTGTTCTTCATACACGTACTGGCAGCACGACCAGAACTCTTGGAGCATCGGCGTCGCGCGCGGCCCTCTGCCGATCAGTGCACGGACGGCGTCGCGGCTTCTTCTTTCGGGCCGGGCATCTTCGGCCCCGTGCTTGCTTTCCTCGGGGAGATCGAAGCGCAGGGCAGGGGCTCTCTACATCCGCACATCCTTGTGTGGTTACTTGGCATAAAAGCAGCGGACGCATTGCCAATGCTGCAGCGAGACACTGGCTCCCTGCAGACGCGCCTGGCGACCTGGATGAAGCAGTGCGCGTCGTCCATGCAGTCGACTTGCCAGAGCTCCGTGATGAGAGCGCCCCAGAGGTTTGGCCACCTCGACCAGGTCGCGGAACCGCTCCCGTTTTCCAAGACAGGGCGAAGTTTGACCAGGTACGACGGAGGCAGTGAGATCGACGCCATGCGCGACGATCTTCAACGAGACAGCGTGGAACCAACGGAGGAGCAGAGTCGTCTCTTCGAGGACGCGGCCGAAAAGGCAGCGTGGAGCAGACCCGAGTTGCCCCTCAAAGCCAAGTCGGTCACGCAGTCGAGCGCGGCAGGGGACGGCGAGCCGGGGCCCGGATCCACGTGCTCCAAGGTCGTCGCCGAATTTGCCGTATTCAGGTGTCCGGACCATCGCAGACGCGGTGCGCTTCATCGCCGCGGTGATCTCAGCGCTGGCGAGCAGAGCCCGCACTTGTGGGAGCAGGCTTTCACGGAGGACGCGAGGTCGTTGGCTGAGGAGATCCTGGTGCACGTGCGCGGGGAGAGCTGCTTCAAGTACAGCGGCGACAAGGTTCAGAAACTGTGCAGGCATGGCTACCACTACATCATCAGCTTACCAGGCTGGCAGAGACGACGGCAAGGGAAGCATCTCCGCAACGCAGTCGTCGTCGTGGGCCAATCTGAACACGGGATGACAGGCAGACTGCTTTTGAACCTGGAGCACCCTGTCGAGTGCCTTACCAACTACGCCGGGCTCGATTGCATGCGATGCAACCTGGACGTGCAGGATCTGCTGGTGTGTTCGAAAATTCGGCGTGTTGTTTTCTGGGTGTGTTCGGATGCGCGTTCTTGAATCGTGTTCTGATGACGCTCTTTCGAGAAACGGCCCTCGGTGACATCCCCTCCCCTGTTCCCTTGAGTGGCATGGACAACCCCTGGGGGGGGAGGGGTGGGGGTTGTAGATTGGGATTGGGCTCTGCTGGATTGCGGGCATCTGTGGTGAAAAGGGCCCTCGGTGACCTCCTCCGCTTTGCTTTGTCTCTTCCCAGGATCTTCGGCGCCTTCCCCCTGTGCAGCACTGGCTCCAACCAGACGAGGAACTTCCGCACCTTGGCGACCAGCCGACTATCGGGTACATGAACACCTACGAGTGGGTGGAGAATGACTACTTGCCGAGACGTTCCCTCGAGAGGGGCAGTCGCCCCGCCGAGCCTCACGCATTCACGGGGGAGTTTACTCCTGATGAGCGGAGAGCCATACTCCTGGAGTGCATGCGGTCGGACGATGCAACAGCCGCCTAGGACAATGAGCCCGCGACAGTCATGGAGCGAGAGTCCACAGCCGCGATGTGCGACGCCATCAACCCGGGCTTCTACATCAATGCGTACACCACCAAGCATCTGCCGCACATGCAGGGGGCCCTCGAGGAGCTGCGCAAGAGCATCGAGCGTCTGGAGCTTAGGCAGGAGGAAACGCAGGAGGCCACCAAGAAGACGCAGAGCCACGATGCAGAGGGGACTGCTGCTTCCGAGGCTCCCGGGCGAGGCCCCAAACGGGGAAGCCTCCAGTGTCTGAGCCGTTGCTCTAGGACGCCCAGAGTCTCGAGTTAGCCACGCCAGCCTGGGAACGCGTATCCTTGCTGGCCCAAGGCCGCCTGGCTGCGCGCGCCTGCGAGAGCTCGCGCGTGGACTGCTCTGAGCTCTTCGTTCTTTCTTTGCAAGAGGTGAGGAATCCTTGTGCAGTTTTCAGGTGCGTCGGTTGTGTCTGCGCAGATCTGGCAACGCTCGAGACCGCGAACCTGGAAGAACAGACCCTGGTTGGGTTCTCGTCTTGCGGGTTTTGCTGCTTGAGCAAGATCACTGCTTCCTGTGTGGTGTTCCAGTTGACCCATTTGATTATCGTGATTTGATAGGGTGAAGATCTTCTTGACTTGACATCAGACCCAGTGGCAGATGCTCGGATGGCTGAAGCAGAAGCCAATGATCGGAAGCGGAGGCGTGATTTGGAGATGGCAGAAGAAAGAGCCAAAGAGTTGCAGCAGCGCCAAGTGATCTTGAGTCCGTCTAGCGTTTCAGGTTTCAAAGCTTTCTTGGAATGGACTTCTGAGAAAGATGATCGACCCAAGCGTGCAAGTGAAGAGAGCCGTCACCTTCTTCAGACCCTGCACGAGAAAGCTGACAACACCGAAAAGGCAGTTGTGGATCTTCAGAGGCAGCAGCAGACAGACTCAGCTCGCATCGCGGTCCTTGGGGGGCAAATGAAAAATGGTCTTCCTTCCGTTGGTGCCTCATCGACTCGATCGGGAACCGCTCGCGACTTTGCTGCGTCTTTCGTGGAAGCATACGGGCGGGTGGAGGATTGGAGTTCAGCTGAGACGCGCAACCAAACATCCATATCCGACAGGAACGCTTACCAGTTGGTTACACATATGCTGGCAGTGTTGGACACCAAAGATTCCCTTCTTCGTGCAAAGGTGGACGCGATGGGTTCTTGCCGCCTCCAGGGTAATCGTGCTCGTACGCCAGTGTTCGTATCAAGTTCAATGCTGGGACTGATGATGATGAGCTGTGGAATGCTAAGAAGATGTGGGACAATGTTTTGGGGGGGGTCCCGCTCAGAAACCTCTGTTGCTAAACCAGATGGCTGGATATGGCGCCAACTTCCCCTCGCGCGTGGAGTTCCGTGTGGAGAGCGCTCCGTTGAAGACTCCGCACTTGCAAGCTATCGGTCGCTTTCACGGGATCTGGGGTCAAGTCTGGAACCTTCGCCACATCGCTCCCAAGGGAACGGTAGGCAGCGGTGCGACACACTCGGAGATGTGGACCGGCCCAGCGGACGACGGCAATCGTAAACAGCTGGGGGAATTCACGGCTGGCGGACAGTACGGTGGAACGGGTCAGTGGCGAATCATCAAACCAAATTGGGATGCCTTTGCGGCGCGCCATCGTCTTGCCATCACATCCGAGACGATTGAGCAGAGGTTTGCAACAACTAGCCGTCGTTGACAAACGACGCGGGGCTCTGATGCCGTTACTGCCACTTGCGCCTCGCAGAACACCCAGAAGGCAGGGGAAGCCGACAATCCTCAATACAGTGTTCTTAGACTCCTTTCTTGCGACGTCCAATGGGATCTGCTGGGCTTGCAGGAATGCGAGCATGTTGGCTTTAGTTCGGACTGGTTCTCTAAGTTGGGTGTACTTGCTCAGCTATCTTCTTGCTGCAAGGCTGGCATGTTGCACCGTGAGGGCACGGCGATGCGCGAACAGTCGAGTGGCGATAGGTGGGTGGAAGTTCTTTTCAATCGGGTCATCCTCGTTTCGCTCCACCTTCCCGACATCTCTGTGGTGGACGCCTTGAACATCACAGATGTCTGTCTTCTTTCAGTTTCTCTTCTCAGACGGTACTGAGAATGCTCGCATGGTTCTCTCAAGCTTGTTGTTGCTACGGATTTCAATGTGGAAGTCAGGCCGCGCTCGAGGGACATCGAGGGCGTCGCCCAGACGGGCTCAGGCTTGCCAGGCGCTGATGTTTGTCTGGGGGGGTGTTGGGAAGGAGAAGGTAAGGAGGAGGATGTATACGCAGCTTCGTACGAAGGTGGGGGACTGGATGATGGAGGAGCGCTTGATTGCCAGCAACCCGTTCAGGGAGAGGGAGATGACATGGCATGGGTATCGTGTTGGTGCACAAGCGGCGGGGAAGGTCTTAGACTATGCGCTAGTTTCTCGTGGCAGCACATTCGCGCCAGCTTCGGTGTCGTGGCCTCGCGAATTGGGCAGCGCTCGCAGGTTCAGCGACCGCGCACTTGTGCAGACGGAGCTTCAGCTTGATAGTCCACTCGTTGCGCCTAGATATGTTGCACGTGCTGGTCGGAGTCTCTCTAGGCGGGTACCAGAGACCTGGCATGGCGGTTGTTCGTTCCAGACGCGTGTCGGCTCATCCTTTGATGCGAACCTCAGCCTTCCAGAGATTGAGAAATGCTCTCATCGTGAGGCGTCCGCTACCTCGACTGCCCCATCCTCGTCTGCGCCCCCCCCCCCCCCCCCCCCGTCGGCATCCAGAACTTATTCGACTGCAAGAGGAGGTTGGGAGGTGGGAGGGGGACAAGACTTTGGAGGAGTTCAAGAGGCTGAGGCGGAGGAGGGACCAGGAGAAGAGGAAGTTCGATAGGAGGTGGGTGGCAAGGAGGTTCACGGAAGGGCGGAGGAGGGCACGGAAGCACGCGGTAGAGAGCGTCGACGGTTCCGCGGATCGGGTCGATTGGCACGCCCCCTTCCTAGATCACACGCCGAGCTACACAGATGTTGACGAGCGTGCGCGTACATCTCATGTCTTGGCTTCGCTGCGTGCCCGGGTGGCTGCTGGATCCCAGGACTTTCCCGGCTTGCCTGTCTCTGCGGTGCTGCGAGCCCGCTCTCGTCTTCATGCGGCGAAGGCGCCAGGTCCGGATGGGATTTCCGCGGAGGTGCTCAAAGAGTTCCCGTATAGGACGGTCAGGGCTATTGCTGGGCATTTTGATGATATATTTCTTGTCTTTGAGCCGTTCCTGAATCCTGGCGTCAGAGCTTCATCACCTTCATGCCGACGAAGTTGAAAGTGCTCGCCCGTCTTTCGGAGGCTACTCGGAGTCTTGCTGTGGAGAGTGCCTTCAAGAAGTGGTGCTCGTCGTCGGTTCTCGTCGTCCTGGAGCCCTACTTTACCAAGGTGTTGCCTCATATCTCTCTCTTTGGCTTCGCGGCCGAGCGTAGCTGTGGGGGGATCTCGGGGGCCCTCAAGTGCGCGGCTCAACGCGCGGCTGTCTGGGGAAAAGGATAGACCGCTCCTGATTGCCAGCATGGACGTCAAACAAGCCTTCCAGAGCATGGCCGCGGAACAGATCACACGCGCGTTCGACAGACTTAGTACTCTTCCTTATCTTCAGCTAGCTCTTCTGGAGCCTTTAGCTGACGAGATCTCCACGGTGCTCTTCGAGGGTCTCGGGGTCCCTGAGGTCATGGTTGACAAGCACGTTAGGACGGGGGGGAATGAGAGCCCAGCGTGTTTGAATGCCATCGTGGCTGCCATGTGGGCTGACATTAATCAGGCATGGGGCAAGGAGGGTTTAGGCTTTGAGTGTGTCAACCCCAACCAGACAACGGATACTGCCGTGGTCAACCATCTCATGTATGCCGATAGTGTGGACATCATAGGCTCAGGCCTCAGTTGGATGATGTCACACTTGCTTTACATCAATGGAAGTTCGACTGCAAGTTTGATAGCTTACATATTGCTGCAGTTGGTTGTTCCCTTGGGAAGTTCTTCGCGGGTGTACATCGCTGCAGATTGCCTGGGGGCCATGGTTCTGCCGTTACTGAGGAGTACGTTCGAGTCGAGCTGCAGCAGTTTCCCGTCCTTAATGTGCTGGGTAACGATATTGCTGTTTCTTTCCGTGAGCCGCATCTTGATGCGGATCGTCGTCTCAACGCTGCTCGCAAGGTTTTCTTTGGGCACATTCAATACTTTCGTTCTTGTGCTGCGCATCGGCATCAGAAGTTCAAGCGTTACCAGTCCATTGATTGTGCAATCAACTTTGCTCTTCGGTTCCGAAGGTTTGACTTGGGAGAAGGACTCGGTTCGCAAGATTCATGTTTTTGAGGGCACATGTCTGCTGCGTATGTGCCACAAGCCTAAGCCAGCCAATCAATCCTGGGAAGTGTGGCGTCCTGCTCGGCTGCGCGTGGTTCGCAAGCTCTTTCACGATCATGGGTTTCAGAGTTCTGTTCAACGCGCGCTGTATCGCTCATGGTTGCA